AAGAATTACTGGAAATAAACACATCTGAATTGTCTGAAATGTCTAATTGTCTTCAAAACCACTGAATACAGTGTGTTGTATAATGAGTATGTTCCTCATACTCATTATCTCTCAATATCAACCCTTTCAGTGCTTGCAGTCTACAAATTTTCTTCAAGACGGTCACATAACTTGTCAAACAAGTGTTTTAAAAAAAATACTAGGTCCACACAGACTTTAACTCAAACTCAGAACAATGAAAAAAACAAACGTAACTCTCACACTCCCTAGGTGATAGAGGTGTAAGTCAAGTGTTACCGTAAAGACAGGATCTGAGAATCAAGTTACAAAGACAATGTGCTCAGTGGACTTCTCCCACTCTCACAGCCTGGAGGCACATTAATATGTAATAGCTCAGGAAAGCTCACTCATCTTTATCATTTATCATTTATTTAACAAGAGATTCATTAATATGAACCACACTGAGCTGCTTGGCTCACGCCCCCCTTTAGGCCAGAGAAACATCCTTGTTTCATATCCTAAGGGTCTAAGCTGTGCATGATTAATCCTTTAGTTGCTATGGAGTTTGAAATCAACCACAAACAGTTCAGAAAAAAGTATTAATTATGTATTTGTGGTAAGCATGTACTACACTCATGAGATATGATTCTACATTTATACAACTGAAATGATCTGTAACATCCATAACATTATGATCGAAACCTGTTGAGAACCAAAATCGTGACTCATTGAGAATACACTGTATTCTTCTACAGTCAGATTCCCATATACACCCCCTGCTGACTGTTAGGGTAACTACAGACTGGCTAGGCTCATCTTCAGAGGCAGGTCCACAGTCTAAAATGATGTGCACTGCACACTGGGAGTTAGTGTTAATGGGTGTTTACCAGTCTGCCAAAAGACTACAATAAGTGCTCCTGAGGAAAGTTTGCACTGAAGATATTTAAGATTTCTGTTTGAGAAGCATAGTAGTAAATAGTTCCTTTGGCACGCCTGCACTTTGTTTGCAAAGCTGCGCTCCGTTTATGAAATGTGTAGTTTTTGGACAAAATTACAGTGACCTAATCAGTAATTGATCTGTCCACACTGAAAGTGAAAATGTTGTTTGAATCAAGACAGATGGCTTTAATCAATTATTGCTTTGCTGCATCTCGCCCAACTGGTGAAACAATGAGGACCAATCCTAATCTTTTTTGCATAGAGAAAATAAAATAGTGCAGATATCATCAAAAAAAAAAAATCTTGTTTTACATAACATACTATCTGATAAAAACGAATCAGCGTAAACCAACACCAAGTGGGGGGAGTCAATACATTGCAAAGTAAGCAGTTTTACTGCAAAGGTTCGTGTAGTAGCAATAAGGTGTTTTCACTGAATACAGTCCCATAATGCACTGTATCGGACTCTGGGGAAAAAATATAAATCCATGATGGCAGATGCAAGGAGAGAAAGTACACTAACGTTTAATAGTTTAGGGTGAGTAATATTCATTTATTTATTTATTTAAAAATGCTTAATTGATTGATGTTAAAAGTGTACTTTCAGATCATATAACATATGAATGTATTTTACGAAAATAAGATGATTTGGTGAGTAAACTAAAAATAATTACTACGAACATGAGAATTGTGTGCATAGAGGGTTGACAGGAATAAATTACTTTTTAAAATATATTTAAATAGAAAACAGTTATTTTAAATGGTAATATTATTTCACAATATTACTATATTTTTGATGAAATAAATGCATATGAAAAAAATTAGTGAGCATAAGAGACTTCTTTCAAAATCATTAAAAAGAATTAACTCCATATTTTTAAATGATTTCACTTATATTACTGTATATTTACACACACACACACACACACACACATACATAAATATATATATATATATATATACATACATGCATACATATATATATACACACATATATATATATATATATACACATACATACATACATACATATATATATATATA